CCAACACTGCCAAGACCCCATGGCACAAAATACGGCCCACAGCCCAGCCCAGCCCAGAAACGGTTGCTGTGGGCACCAGGTAATGACATCACATAGCAACTCCCAGCTTCCTCTCCCTAGCGACTAGCCTCCTTGGAGTTTCTTTAGCCCAGGAACCTGACTTGCTTTATAGCCAGGTGCAAACATTTTACACTTTAACCAAAGGTCTGTGAAGCATTTTCCCATGCCTCATCTCATTTGGTCCTCACAGAAGTCCTGGAATAAGTAGATAGGAGACTCAGTAGAATCCTATTTTCTTTTCATTAGCAAGATGTGAATAGCGATATTAAAATATTTCTTCTAATTAATTTCTTTTCAATGTGCACAAAACCGTGCACTGGGACACTAGTTTATTCCACAAAGTCACTAAAGTTCCTGCTAGAACTAATATTCTATGTCTTTCATCCCAGTATATTCTAGTGCTGTGTCCTGTTTATACATTCCATTCTCTTTGTTTTTGTATATTATATGGAAGTTAGGCAATGAGAAAAAATTTTATTAAATTGTAAGGGATCATTCTTAGTGACTAATGTGGCCATATGTCTAGTCGGTGCTCAATACTTTTTTTTTATGTTTATAATGACCAGTGCCTTTTCTCCATTCTCTGTTTCTATGCATTTTTGTATTTATTGGTCACAAGTTTAATATTAGGACTCCTACTTTTGGGTATAATAATGCTACTCTTGTTATCCTAAGGAAATATTTAAAACAACTAAAAAATACCCAATGATTTATTTGAACAATCTCAAATATCCAATAGGATTGTGTATAAGGAAATTATGGTGTATATATTATAGAAAATTATGAAAACTTTAAAATATATTTTCATATCATTTAAAATAATGTATTTGTGCAGGTTAAGCTAGACAAACATACAAGAATGTATAGAGGTTGGTTTTAATTTTATAAAAATGCAAATTAGAATATGGAAAGAAATAAAATATCAACAGGATTGTAGGGAGCAGCTATAGGGTTAAGCCTTGGCCTGACCTGTGGCAGGGCCACAAACAAGTCCCAGCTTGGAGGGCAGAGCCCTCTTAGCATAATTAAGCTTAACCTTATAGTCCTCTCTAGCTCCTTCCTAGGTAGCTAATGGGCTGTGGAAGGTGCAGCAAGTGCTGCCAAAACAAGGTGAAACTCACAAGAACATTGTAAACATGTTGACCACTACCCTTGTTTTGCTTTGTGTGCTCTGACTATAAAATAAAGCGCTGGGTCACTGTTTCCTCATCCAGGCACAGTGATCCGACCTAGCTCCAGCTGTATTCTCTTGTCTGTCTTCTTTAATCCTTCACCGCCCCTCCTCAGGCTCACCGAACCTGGCTATGCTGGCGCGGCACACAGGATTGCTTCTACATGGTAGAAAGAAAGCTTTATCAGTCAAGATTCTTAGTTGCATACAACACAACACTATCTTGTGTTTTTTTAATGACAAAAAGTAAATAAATAATTTACTGAACACCAAACTTAGAAGACATGCAAGAATCAAGGCATCTCTTGCCCTGGCCGGTTTGGCTCACTGGATAGAGCGTCGGCCTGGGGACTGAGGGGTCCCAGGTTCGATTCCGGTCAAAGGGCATGTACCTGGGTTGCGGGCACATCCCCAGTAGGGGGTGTGCAGGAGGCAGCTGGTCGATGCTTCTCTCTCATCAATGTTTCTAACTCTCTATCTCTCTCCCTTCCTCTCTGTAAAAAAAGAAAACCAATAAAAAAAAAAAAAGAATCAAGGCATCTCTGAAATACCGAGAAGTAGGAAGCAGCAGGACACTGCCCACGTTGAACACTACCACAGCTAGTGCAATCAAATCATCATGGGCCATCTGTCTAGAGTTGAGCTCCAGGCAGGAGCATCTTATCATCTCATTGACTAACTCAGGATCATATACATTGCCCTGGCCAGGTAGCTCAGTTAGTCAGAGCATCATCCCAATACATCAAAGTTGTGGGTTCGATCCCAGGTCAGGGCACATACAAGAATCAACTAATGAATACATCAATGGGTGGAACAACAAATGGATGCCTCTCTCTCTCTCTCTCTCTCTCTCTCTCTCTCTCTCTCTTTCTCTCAAAAATCACTGGCTACAAAAGGGCTACAGTTCAAGAAGAGGGAAGATGTCCCCACCTAAATTACCATCAGGGGAAGCAGAGCACTGCATCTCACCTACATGATCAACAATAAAGGATTTCTCCCATATAGAAAGAGGAGCTGAAACTCGGACAACCAAAAAAGTGACAAAAGTTCACAACAATTTTTTCTTTTTTGTTTTCAACACTTTACAATTCATCTTCAAGGAACTTATATATTACATGTGGAATCTGATAAAATAAACTACTATAACTTTTTCTTTCCTTATAGTATAAAAAGTAGCAGAATAATGCTACCCCAAAATATGACTGTAGGAGTCCAGGACATGCCACCTTGAAACATGAGTTCACTTTGGTATATTGAATTTTGAGCTGTAGACACTTGTAAAACAGCAAATATAGAGAGAGGATTTCTCTGTGCTCCCCTTCTACATAAGGTATACATGTTAATAAACTTGTTTATTTTCTCTTGTTAAAATGTCTTTTATTACAAAGGGGTCAGCTAAAAATTCAGAAGGGCAGAGGGAAAAATATTCTTCCTCCCCTACAGGCACTATGTTAAATTATAAAGTTTTTTTTCAGTATTTAACATATCTGTCTAAAGTTGGTATAAAATCTTTATGAAATTAGGGAGCTCCATTCCATTTCTAGTTTGCTAAGAGTTTGTAACTTTTAAACAAATCGTGAATAGGCATTAAGACTTACCAAATGTTTTCTTCTCAACTGAGATGATTTTTCTCTTTTAGTTCTTTCATGTGGTTAATTGCATTGGTAGATTTTCCATTTTTTAAGTTAATTTGGTTTTTCTAGAATAAACTACTAAATTTTTTTTTTAGACATTAATCCTTTTATTTTTTTATTTTTTTTCAGTTGATCAGCATAGCCAGGTTCTCTCCTTATTGTCCTGTTACAACTGTATTTATACCATTTGATACTAGAAGCATGCCTCTATAAAAACTACTAGATTTTGATGTATAATTTTTTAATACCTTGTTGGACTTGCTTAGCTAATAATTCATTTAGGAATTTTTTGCATTTACATTCATAAATGTTTGCAGCCAATAATTTTTTTCATATATTGCCCTATCTGGTTATTAAAACAAGACTTTTAGCCTTTAAAAATGAAACTTTCTATTTCCTAGAACAATTTGCATAAGATAGATATTAAGTATACCTTGAAATTTAGTAGGACTCGCTAGTAGAATCAGCTA